CAACATGAGAAGCGTATCACGTATGAGCTACCGAATGTGGAAGGTGTGCAATATGTATTAGATTTACTCTTGAGGTTTTCTCTTATTTTAGATCTAGGGCAAGACAGGGATGGCTATTTTTAATATTTCAAAGGGGAGTGTTTGAGATGTCTGTATAATAGCACTAGAAGGAGCAGTATGCACGCACAGGGTCCGTGTTCATGGTGCTGCAATCTGCGAGCCTTTTATAACTTTATATTAACCCAAAAGGTTCCTTTTTAGTGGAAGTTTGAGATACTAAAAACAAGACAATATTTTCCCCCCACTCATTCTTTTCATTGTTTCATATAGTTAAAATAGAATTATTCATACAATGTCAAGAATTTTAAGTCACTTATGTTTGTCACTGGAGTAGACTTAACTTTAGGTAATAATCTTACCTTGTGAGTGGCAGTAAAATAATTTTAGACATTATTTCCAAATTTTTAGAGTTCCTAACTCCCCTCCTGAAAGCAAAAAAAAAAATTTTTTTTAAATACTCTAGTCTTGCTTGGGAATGACTTTGCCTAGCATAATTTTAGCACATAGTTTTTAACAAGTGCCTGCTGTTTTTGCTATAGCATAAATCACTGTCTTCCTGTCTTTTTGGTGTTTGAAATACTCTCATTTCTGGTTTGGCACCCCCCTCCCCCCAAAAACTTTCTAAAAAGTTTATAATACAACATTTTTTTTCCATTAAAAAAGGATGTGAATTATTTTTGTTTTGATAATATTCCAGGAGCTTCCTGACCGCCTGGGAAATGTCTGGAGAGAGCATGGTTGCAGGGAGGGGTGTAGGTGTAGCAGTGTCAAGTCATTCGCTTGGAGTCCCCAGCCTATGGGTGCTCATGAATGTGTCTGTAGATGTGGGGGCAGCAGTCCAAGAAGGAAGAAGCAGCCCTCCTGATCTATATTCAAATGTATTACCGCTTTATTTTCCTTGACCTCATTGTGCTTGAGCTCAAAAGCATATCTTCTGTTAGGTAAAACAGAAAGAAGCATGTTTCTTGCTTGTACCTGCCACCTTCCATTCTTGGGTTACATTGATGGTTCTTCTTAGAGCATGACTGTCCCGAACAATGACAATTTTTAAGAAAAGTTTTTGTCCACTTTTCAAAAACTTATTGAGAATCTGCGGTGTGCACAACACAGACTTGGCTATATGTTGTAAATCCTGTGTCTTAATACTAATGGCTCTTAATAGAGTAACTGTTTATGACGTGAGCAAGAAAATCCGAAGGAAGAGATAACCAGCAACAAATATCTGCCTATTGGACATAGAAGGCAGAGCCGTTTCCTTGGATCTCACCTGGTCAGCAGCAAAGTCTAGGTTTGATAAAACCACCTATGCAAAGTTAAAATAGAAAATTTTCTTTCCCTCTACTGTTAATGGATGACATCTCAGTGATAATTTTTTATTAGCTTGAATGAGGGATAATTGACATGCAGATGAACCCCACATATTTAAAGTATCTAGGTTAACTGGGCATGGTGGCGCATGCCTGTGGTCCCAGCTACTCGGGAGGCTGAGGTGGGAGGATCACTTGAGCCCAAGTTTGAGGTTGCTGTGACCTGTGGTCACACCACTGCACTCCATCCTGGGCCACAGAGTGAGTGAGACCTTAAAAAAAAGGATACATTTTGATGTATTTACATCTGTGAAATCATCAATATCAAGAAAATCCTTCCCTCCCACTTTTCCCCAGTCAATCACAGATCTATTAGTACTTTCCATCACTATAGATTAATTTGTATTTTCATAGTTTTATGTAAATAGAATAATACAGTATATGCCTTTTTTATTTTGGTCTCACTTTCACTAAAAAAATGACTTCAACATTCATTCATGTTGCATGTATCAATAGGTCATTCCTTTTTATTGCTGGGTAATATTCCATTGTATGGAAGTACCACAGTTTATTCATTCACAGTCTGTTGGTGGGTGTTTATGCTGTTTTTGGTTTTTGGCTTTTAGCTTTTATAAATAATCTAAGAACATTTCTTATGTCAGTTATAATATAAATTTAGCTTTTTTCCCCCAATCTTTCCCTTTCTGAAAAGTGAGTTTAATGGGATTAGCTAATGGGATTAGCTATCATTTTTTTTCCTCCTGCATTATATCAACACAGGTAAGTTAAGAGGAAGAGGCACAGACTATTTTTGAGTGGTCCAGAGTTTCTTTTCGTTAATATTATTGGATACCAAATTTGTAGTCTTTGGATATCTGTTTTTAAAAGCCAATATGAAGCCAGGCATGGTGACTCAAGCCTGTAATCCTAGCACTCTGGGAAGCTGAAGCAGGAGGACTGCTTGATGCCATGAGTTCAAGACCAGCCTGAGCAAGAGTGACTCTACAAAAAAGACAAATATTAGCTGGGTGTGGTAGTGTGTATCTGTAGTCCCAGCTACTCAGGAGGCTGAGGCAACGGGGATCACTTGAGCCCAGGAGTTTGAGGTTGCAGTGAGCTGTGATGACGCCACTGTACTCACCTGGGCGACAGAGTGAGACTGTCTCAAAAAAAAAAAAAAATATGTTGCACACATCACTTTTCAAGATATGTAAAAGTTCCAGGAAAAGCTTTCAAATGAGTATCATTACCTGGGTTGTGTTCTATGCCAGCAAGGCTGCAAGCTTCCTGGGAACATTGGAAACTATTTGAGAGGAACCTTGACAAGTCTACAAGAAGAGATAAGAGGGTCACAAAACCCAAGAATGAGCAAATTTGTTGTTTCTGCTTTAACTCTGAAGTAGAGTAAGACTGATTTTTTTGTTTTTGTTTTTTTAAATTTCTGGCTTTGTTCCTTATTTATGACCCTTTCCACAGCAATTCAAAATAGAGGGGCCATCCCTTTTTGCCCTTCGTTTTCCCTCCCCGCACCTCCTGGAAATCCCATGCAGACATTGAGTGTACTTTTCCTCATCTCTTCTTTCCAGCCGTAGATTGGCTGGAATGGCCTCCAGCACCAGAGGGAGAACGAGGCCTCTCTCTATGTTAGGAAACACCGGCCACCTTCATCTCCAGGTTCCTGACTTGGCTTCTGCCTTTCCTTTTTCCAGTAGTGACCACATTTAGAGCTTCTGCAAGTTGGGCTCACACCAGCATGCTCAGAATATTTCTTTCACTGAAATATCCTTGTTCATTTGGAGTCTAAGGAGACACACTTATTACTTTACAAAGAAGAATTTTCTAAAATACTTACTGAAATGCCACAGGGCCACTGGTCGTAATTCCATTTCTACTGCCGTCACAGCAGTCAGTTGACCTAGACGTGGGCCTCAGAACGGGGGCTCAAGGGTAGTGCCGACATCTCCCTATCAGGGATGCTTGGCCATCCCCTTTAGTCTTGGTCGTTGCAAATCTGCTGATAGGCTTATGTGCAGAGTCTATTCCTTAATGTCCCCAAGGTCTTAAGGGTGTTTTGATTCTCTGTCCCTGTCTTTGGATTCTGTAGAGATAAGAGCTTCCTATTTGAGTGACAAGTGATTTCACTGGTAGAATGGCAGTTCCCTCAGGCTTTTGGCTTTTATTTTTTTTGGGTGTTCATTTCTGGAAAAATGTGCAGTAGGTGTTCAGGATTGGGGAGATGATAAATATAGGAGGTGAAGGTGTGCCATTAGGAAGTTGGACGATTGCTGCAGGCAGTTGTAAGGGCTGTTTCAGATTTCTGGCAGTAGCACTGCACCCACAAACAGGGGGCTTTGCAGTTGTCACAGGAGGCAGCAGCAGAGGTGGAGAGGAGGGGCTAGAACTATGAGGTATTGGAAAGTTGAAGCCATATGACTCAGCTGTTGATTGGCTATGGCCTGAGTGAGAGGAGGCAACTCTTAGGTTTCTGATTTCAGGTAGGTGATGATATTCATTAAAGTGGGGATATAAGGGGCAGAGCAGGTTTGGGTAAAATGTAGAGCTCGGTTTCTGTAATGCTGAGTTGACAAATCTAAGGGACCACCTTAGGGTTGATGTCTAATGTGAAAGTAAAACAAGATCTGGAGCTTGGGAGGGAGGTTAGTTTAGGAATGTAGGTTGCCCTAGGTGTGCTGGGTGTGACTGTAGGTCAGCGTTCTCCAGGGAGAACATTTGAAGCAAGAGGAGGAAAGAGTTCATGAAAGATACCAATGTTGATGAGAAACATGGAAGAGGAAGAACCCACAGAGTGGGGACCCCAGGAAAGAGAATTGCCATAGAGGCTCAGGGAGCATTTTGAAATGCAGGATGGAGTCATTAGTGCTGTAGAGACGTCTCAGACCAGAGAAGAGCTCAGATTCCCCCCCGCCCCCCGTTAGGCGGCAATGCCTTGGTGTGGGAGAGGCCAGATGACAGGACTAGAGCATCTTTGGAAGAAAGGTAGAGAAAAGAGCCAATTGATATTTCCATGGGAAAGTGGAGTAGGTAATTTGAAAGGTTATTTGGCCATTGGCCATGTAGTTTCTGCTAATGTCTATTAGGTCTAATACTTCCTATCGGTCTGAGGTTCCCTGTTCTAGTGAGTGCTAAATTTTACCTTTTTTTTTTTTTTAAGAGCCAAACCTTTTTTTAAAAACATGTTTCCAGGTGGCATTAGGATTTAGCATAATGAATGATCTTAGCATTTAGAAAGCTGACTGAAAACCGAGTAAGGTATTTTTCAGTTTGTATTTATCAGTGTGAGACTTTGAACCTCTTAGGGAAGTGCAGGCTCTTGTGGGTGAAAGCATGGCCTGCGTGATGTTCTTAGAGTCCTCTCCCGGCTCGTGCACCGTGCCTGGGGTACAGCGTTCTGGACACAGCGTGGACCAGAAGGATCGCATCAGGCCTCTTTGGGAAATGAGGGTTGGGAGGTGATGGGAGTGAGGAGTACTGCAAGAGCCGAGAGCACATCTCAGTCCTGTCATGAGGCAGCACTGAGGTGAGCCTGAATGAGTTTGGGTAAGAAAACCCCTGAGAACACTCAGTGACCTGTGCAGCTTCTAATGCTTCCTGTTTGGACATTTGTTTCTTTAGGCTTGTCAACTACATGGTCCCAGAATTCCCGATCCCAGCACAGGAGAAGTTCCTGCTCCAGGCATGAAGATCGAAAGCCTTCGGAGGTACTTCCCGAACGCTGGCCTGACTGCATGTCATACGCGTGTGTGCATGAGTACATGCGGCCCCACACCTGGTTGATTGGCGTCTATCTGTGCAGGCCTGGGCGAGCTGCCTCACCTCCCTGCGCCCCACTTCCAGATCTGTGAGATGGGGATAACACCGCTATCTACCCTGTAGGACTCTCGAGGCTTCAGTGGGTTAATACACATAGGCTAATACGTACAAAGCACGTGAATAGTTCCTGGCACGTAAAAAGTGCTCAGTAAATGTTAGCTATTATTATTAATTGTATTCTTTTTTTCCTTTCCTGTTCCATCTTCGCTGGCTCCCAACAACTTTTCCTCTGGCCAGGAGATCAGCGGGTTCAGCTGCTGTCAAGTCACTGCCAGCCTCAAGTTAGTTTTAGCCATGAATCTGTGGCTTATTTGGCAACAACCCAATGTAATTCTGGGAGTTTTGTTTTGGGGATTACGCTTAAGGCTTCCCCCCCTTTCCCAATTTGTTTCTCATCTTATGTTTCCCCTGCTCCCCCATTTTGCTATTTCTTTCTCTCTCTCTCTCTCCCCCCTGCCCTCCTCCCCTCTCCCCACCTACCTACCTACCTATCTCTATCTAAAATTGTTTTTAGGTGCATTTCTCTGCTGGCCTTTATGAGATCTGCCTTCTCTGAAAACCTTTGCTAGGCTTTAAATCATTGAAGAAAAGGGCTTTTGTCAGTTTTCAAGCGAGCAGGTTATGGGGTAGAGAGTTTTTTGTTGAATGCTTTGTTTTATGCTGCCTCTTAAGGGATGACCTTAAAGACCACTTCATCCTGTAATGGCCAGGCAGAGCAGATGTTCCTCGAAGCAACTTCCCAGACTGTTAACAGGGCCTGTCAGGAGGGTGCTGTGTTGAGGAGCAGAGTTAGTTGGTTGTGGGATAACATCCATGAGGAAGTAGCGTTCATCCTTTAGAATTGTGGAAAACCATCCCAGGAGGCACTTAAGCATTAGATCAGATGTTCACAGGAAGGTGGTTACTCTGTCCCCTTGGTTTATTCCAGGCCTTTTGTCCTTTGAACCTACAGTGCTCCCTTCCTTTTCTGTGGTCCTGGAGTGTCTCTGCTGCTCTTTTGATTTCTTTAATTCCTTGTGCTGTGTCCATAACCTCCAAAATACCTCTCTGATGTTCACACTATGCTCCTATTATTTAAGCACAGGAATCCAAGGGGGACTCTAATAAGGAGCTGTGACCTGTGTAATGAGCGCTAGTGCCTGGTGGTATAGTTGGAACCTCCCTTCCGGCGCAGGCACCGAGCTGCAAGGAGCGGCTGGGCGGCCTGGGACCCCCAGCAGCATGGGACGCTGCGCTGGCCTTGTCCCAGAGCCATGTTTTGGTCCAGATTTTTTTCTAAAATTTCTCTGAGTTCAGCTCTGAGTTTAAACCATGTTATACATAAAGCACTAATGCTGCACTTTGCCAGGGACTCAGGAGTTCATGTCCATGTTTCAGTTTTTGACCAGTTCCTCCAAGTCTTTGAGTAAAGGATGGCTGGCTGCCGTCTGTCATCACGGTGCTTAAGTTCGATTTTTCTTCTTGGGCAAAGTCCTTTGTCCTTTTAATGATGAGTTAGTTGGAATATGTTTTTACCTGATTTGCTTCTTGAAGGCGTAGACTCATGGCTTGGGTTTAAAGTACTTTTCTCTTGGGGGCGGGGTGGGGGGGGCAAGGCTGTTGAAGGCAGTATGCGCTGGGCCGGCACCTGCTTCGGCAGCTTCGTGTTTGAAGGGAGCCTGATGTTCCGCGTGATTTTGTGGGAGGCGCACATCTGGGTTCGTGCTTGTTAGTGGTGCTGCAGAAACGAGGAGGGGCACACTGGGGAGAAGTTGGTATTGGAAATGGCAGGCAGGAGAAATTGCCTTTCTGTTCAGACACTGCCTCAGACTTCATTATGGTGAAGTTTATTAAAGAGATCACTGGCCTGAAAAGCCACCAGGAAAAACAAATATGGATGTATTAGCAGGCGTATGATGTGAACTGTGCTTAGCAGCACAAGAAAGAACGCCCTGTCCTGAGGAGGAGAGTTGAGCATTGTGACTTGTGCAGGCAGAGAGGGCAGCTCACAGATGCAGGCCCGCTCTTGCCAAACACAACTGTGGGCTGGCGCAGATGCCAAGGTCAGGCTTCCGCGCGTCGCCCTCGGATGCGAGCGGACCAAGGACGGGCCTGAGAGGGAACCAGCTGGGCAGCCCTGGCTGGGAGATGGTGCCATGCTGTGCCCTGCCCAGGGTTGGGTCTCGTTGTCCGTGGGTGCCACAGGGCCACAAATCTGGGGAGGAACAGGCACTGTGGGAGGGCCACCCTTCCTGCGCTTTCCCTTAGGGCTGTGGTGAGGAACTGGGGAGCTCTCTTGGCAGAGGGGCACTTTGAGTGTTGTGGGTCTGTTTTTGGCAGGGTTGCGGGAGAGGGTAGTGACTGTAATTCTTTCTTTCTCTATTTCCTGTCCCCACAAATACCACTTCCTGGGTGGAAGTCATGCCAGGTGAGGGTGTGCAAACAGACGCTCTCTGCAAGGCCATCCTCTGACTAGGCACTCCAGCGGCCTGTGGTCACTTCTCTCCTCCATTTTGCCAGGCCAGTACTTCAGCCTGGCACTAGCCAACCTGACCTTGACCTCACCAGATGCCATAAACCTCCCTGCCCTGGGAGGCAGGGTTGGGTAGGGGCAGGCTGTGTAAGGCAGACAAGGCCCTGATGGTTCTAGCAGGATTGGGTTTGAAGTTGTTCTATGCTTAGTGGAGTTTTATTTCTAAACTTTCACCAAAGAGCACCCTTGAACGAAATCTCTCTCTAGGGGTTTTCAGGTGCATGTTTTCAGGAGTCCTCTTGGTGAATTGAGAGTTCTTGGAAGTTTTTCAGAGGACAGCAGGTTTCTTTTGTTGCTTTGTTGACATAGTTGTAGACACTGCCATGTTGACTGAGGGAGTGAGAGGGCAGCGTTCCCTCAGCACTGCCACCCTAAGCCCAAGCGCGGTAAAAGGTGTGTCAGGCAAAGGGTTTTCTGTGATAGGTCAGTCTTATCCTGTTATACAGTGACCTTGTTACATGGCAGCTCCATGGTTACCCTGCAGCTGCCAGCAATCTGAAGAAGAATGCAAATATCAAATGTCATTGTCCCTTTCTCTCCCTTTCCAGGTGTTTAGGACAGACCTGATCACTGCCATGAAGCTGCATGACTCCTACCAGCTGAACCCGGATGAGTACTATGTGCTGGCAGATCCCTGGAGACAGGAGTGGGAGAAAGGGGTCCAGGTGCCAGTGAGCCCAGGGACCATCCCTCAGCCCGTGGCCAGGTAGAGATGCCCATGGAGAGAAGAGCTGCCTCTCCACTCTCTCTCACCTTTCTTCCCTGACAGCCAAGTAACCGAGAAGAGGCAGTTCCGGAGTTAGCAGTAAAATAACACGAGGCCTCAAATAGAAATGTGGTAGCAACACACTTCAGGCATGAAGGGTAGTGATTTTGAGGGCCAGGGTCCTCCAAACTTAACATTACAGCCATCTTGGGGAGGTGCTGCTCTCTTGGGAGAGGAAGACACTTCTGGGAAGTGACTGGCTGGGGAGGGAAGTTTGGATGTTCACATGGCTGCTTGCTCCTCTCCTCCACTCTGTGTTCATTCACTCTGGAGAGCAGCTCCACTGGGGAGAAGAGTGTGGTCTTACTGGGAGCTAGCAAGGGTGGCGCCTCTGCCCCACAATGGTTGACTCCACCTCTGGGGTACAGGTGTGAGGAGGCCTGCCAGGTTAGGACTTGTTGTGGGAAGTGGAGTTTTTGAGGAGGCATCTGTTACTGTGGTGCCTTGGTCTTTGGTGCCTTCTGGATTTATTGATGAATTACTTAACCTCTTCAAGGGTCCCCTAGGGTTGAGTCCTGGCTAACTCTCCTCCGAATCAGGTTGCAGCCTGTTTGCTCCTTTCCTTGCCGTCCAGTTCTGTGTGACCTGGAGTGTCCTGTTGGGCAGAGAGGACCGAGTGCCCTCTGTGCTTAGTGAGCACCTGCTTTCCCTGCCACGCTAGCAGTCAGCTTCCTGCTTTTCCAGGTGGCCCCTTCCTCCGTGTGCGTATAGGTGGAATCTGTCTCTTGGCCCACCCACTTTGTGTCTCTTCAGGCATTTGAAATGATTGAATTTGACTGCTGTCATTTGGAATCACTGAGGAGTCTATCCAGTGGTGACGAATGTCCCTATTTTATTATAGTCCTTCGTTGATCTGTGGGCTTGGATGAACAGTCCAGAGTGCGAAGATGACCTCCGTGGGCCGAGTCCTGGCCTTGGCGAGTGTCGGCTGGGCTCTGCAGGACAGACGCGGCGCATGTGCCTCAGCGTCTGTATCTGAGACGCAATGCTGCCCACGTCAGCATTGGCAGTCCCAGCCCATGGGTTCTGAATGGTTCAGTTTCATTTGGGAGCTCAGGATAAAATAAGTGAGCTTTAACACAGCTTGTGGAAGTTTTCAGTTGGATTCCTGCTTTTGGTTAAGTAGGAGAAATAAATCTTTTCAGTTTACACATCTCAGTTTCCAGTAGATAAAATCACTCTTATAAGGGATATGAAAATATAATACTCTGACATTCTCTTTGGGCAGCCTGTTGCTATGAATGCAGCCTGCTGACACACAGAGATGTGAAGGGACTTTGTGGACCCCTGGGGCCCTTGGGAAGAGGGCCTTTGGTTCCAAGTTGGGAGTGATTGCTCTTCTCACGTGCAGTCCTTTATTTTGCGTGGGCTGAGGTGGAAAGCACTTCTCCAGGTGTGACATTACAAGGAGAACAGGAAAGTTGCGCTTCTGTTCCAGGGATCATTGGTTTATGTTTGGAGAGTCCCCTACTTGGCTAGGACTCTGATTCTTACATTTTTTTAGTAATGGCTAAGGCCTAATTTTCTCTCTTTTTCCTCTATTTTTGTGAGCTGAGTTGACTGGTGCCTCCCTTGGCCCCCAGCATTCTGCTGTGCATGCGCTGCTTGGGTGGCTGTGTGGTGTGTGTGGCTGTTCCCGTCTCCTCTAATGTTCTTGAGAACCTGGCGGTAGACGCTGGCTGTAACTGCCACCAGCCGGGATGGGCAGGCCTGCTGGTTAATGGAAAGTGATTCAGTGACTAACCCTTGAAACTTAGGGGGTCAGTGGTTTTTGGTCTGGCAGCAGGCCAGAGCAACCGCAGCCAACATGGTGGCAGGGCACTGTGGTGTCCTGGGAAGCTGATTTTGAAGACTTCCGGAGTGTTTTCACTAGAATCTATTTCCATTTTGGGAGCTTTAACTAATTCTGGTTGGGGGTTTATTAGCAGTGATAGTCGGGCTTTAAGCCTTATGTTTTTTATGAAGCCTAGGGATGTCCTAGGCTTCTGAGGGTAGAGGAGGAAGCCATACTTGGGGCCTTCTGACAGGCTTCCTGCTGTGTGGCAGAAAGGGTAACCTGGCTGCCTTGTTTTTTTATTAACCAGGGTCGTGTCTGAAGAGAAATCCCTCATGTTCATTAGGCCCAAGAAGTACATCGTCTCGTCAGGCTCTGAGCCTTCAGAGTTGGGCTATGTCGATATTCGGACGCTGGCCGACAGCGTGTGTCGATATGACCTCAATGACATGGATGCTGCATGGCTGGAGCTGACAAATGAGGAATTTAAGGAGATGGGTAAGAGACTGTGTCGTATTATTAATATTTTGTTAAGCAATGATGAATAGAGAAGTATTTTAGGTGTGTGGGTGAGTAGTAAAACTTGCCATTGCCTGGTGAAGCCTGCTCCGTCATAGCTTCCGTTAGTCACAGAATCATAGGCTTCTGCAGAGCTCAGCTTGTCCAGCTGCGGCAGATGTGACGAGGTGGGTTCCGGGTGGAAGCAGGGCTCCTCGTGGCTCAAGCGCTGCGATTCCCATCCCTGCTCCGGTCTAATCCCCACTCACTCACTTTCCCTGGGGCCCAGGGAAGTTAAGAGGCAGAAGGGTCTGTCTGGTCCATAAATTCCTGCTGGGGCATTTTCTTTACTGTGACGCCATTCAGAGTCCTTCTTCCTTAGCTGTGCCTGCTGCTTCTCAAAGTGAACCCCACTCCAGCCACCCTCACTGTTTTCCAAGCACATCACTTGTGTTTTCACTTCAGTGATCTTCTTTTTAAGTCCTGCTTCAAACCTGGCCTGCTTTTCCCTCTCACCTGCTTGTCTCTGTCCTGGCCTTCCTTCAGCAGACGGCCCAGCGTGGTCTCTTTGCTGCGAGTTGCTGATTTTAGTGCACATAGAGGTTGGAGTGTCTGCACCTCCATTATTTGTGTGCTGCGGTGTTGAGATGGGGGTGGCTTCTAGGCCTGAGGTCTCACGCTGATTCTGATGGCTACGGGTGCCTTGTGGGGGAGGGGGTCACAATGAGCCAGACAGTGAGGTCAAGGCTGGCTCAGTGTGGAAGACTGAGGATTAATTAGCATTTGTGCTGTGGGTGCAGGGTGAGGAAGTGGTGGCAAGGGTTGTTTGTTTGCAGTGTAGCACAAATAGTAAATCATTACGTGAGTGGTAGATTTCAAAGCCTTGGAGGGCAAAGACTGTTTTCTCTTGTATCTGTGGAGCCTGGCACAGGGACTGGCATATAGTTGTTGTCATTACTCACCAGCCTCCTGTTAAATGGTGGGAACATTAGTGTAGACTGTGCCAGGCATGTTGTTACTTTCTACTTCTTTGGTTACTCAGGTATTTTGATAGACAAAGTAGATTTCCTTCCTTTTGGTCCTTGCTTTAGGTATTAATGGCCTGAACATTAGCAGGCTAGGAGGTTGTTTATACAGAATCTGTTCAGGAGTTCTCAGAGATCTCATGGAACTGAATACTTTATGTTAGCTTCATAGATGATAAAGTTCTGCTTTGTAAACAGCTTTATAAAGACCAGTGTAATACACATGACTGACTCTAGGTGTTCTACGTTAAGTCAGAGGACTTGGCCCAAAGATTCTTGGGACTTTTGCGAATGGTTTAAATAGTAAGAACTGGGCTGTTCATCAGCCTTAAAGATATTGCTGAATACATTGGCAAAATAAGGTATGTAGTTGTGTAATATAAATTAAACACATGCGTAAAGATGTTGATCTTAGTTGTTATTGGTCTTTTTTATGGTAAAAATTAATTATAGGGTATAGTATTATATTTTCAAAGCCAGTGGTGTTTTTTAAACTGAAGGAATATGGATGAAAAGTGCCCGGCCATGGGAAGCCATCTCATAATTAAATAGCATGGCCCTTTTGAATATGTATTTAGGGCTTACCAAGTGCCAACTCTAACGTGTTCTCCATCAAACTGAGTAACTCAGTTATTATTTAACCACATTTTTAAAAACTTGGGAAGTTAATTGGATAGTTTAAAAATTTATGATAATTCATATACATTGTCATAGGCTCTAATGACACTTCCATTGTTTTTTGCCACTTAAATATCACATTTGAGTATTTTTTGTAATTTGTATTTTCCTCTCTGTATATGTATTTTCATTGCAGGAAGTTTGGAAAATGTCCACAAATAGAAGAAAATAAAAGTCTTATCCCAACACTAGCTGTAGCCACGATAACTACTTGAAATTTATTTTTGATCATTCTTGTATAAGAATGCATTTTATTTGATTCACAGTGAACTGTCGTCTTTGCTTAGACATTGCCTTGTGTTTCAGTCTTTTAGGCATCTGATTAACTATGCCTTTCAACTTAGTACAATTCAGAGGGTGAGGAGAGGGATAAACCATTTAAAAACGTTTAGTGCTCACAGTGAAATCTGTTTCTAGAGAACCATTTTAAAAAGCAACAAGAAAGGGAAGTTTTTAAAAACTACCCAAACCATAATATGTGGTCATGGTTTTGAAGTCACTTACAAGTTAGTTGTTAAGTGTAATAACTATAATGAAATGACTTACTTAATGGTATATGTATTTAATATCCTTGAATCTTTGGGGATTTTCCTTTTGTTTTTCTACTTGCTATGCTATATATTCAGTTCCTGGAGCAAACTGTTATGTGGAAATCTTAAAATTTAAACATCATTTTCTGAAACGGTCTGAGCAGCATTCAGTGGAAAATTCGGGGGCATGCGGGGATGGATTTATTTATAATATAATTTATTCATTGTAGTTATCTATAAGTATAAATAAACTCATACTGTTTTATCATAATATTTATTAATATAGATTTGTTAAAATGGGTTTTATGGTATTTTTTTCCTTCAGGAATGCCTGAACTGGATGAATACACCATGGAGAGGGTCCTGGAGGAATTTGAACAGCGCTGCTACGACAACATGAATCATGCTATAGAGACTGAAGAAGGACTGGGCATTGAATATGATGAAGATGTCGTCTGTGATGTCTGCCAGTCACCTGACGGCGAGGACGGCAATGAGATGGTGTTCTGTGACAAATGCAACATCTGTGTGCACCAGGTACGTGGCGCAGGGAGGCCAGGAAGAAGCCACCTGGGGTACGAGCCTACCTGTCAGTGGGAGCATGCTGCCCGGAGCCCAAATGGGGTCCATTTTTCTACACGATTTAAAGAAAAGTGCCCTATAGACTTTTTTTTAAATTTCAAAATATTATAGGGGTACAACTGTTTTTGGTTACATGGATCACTTTTGTTATCCGTGTAGACTCCTTTTTTTCCCCCTGTACGTTCTTACAATCTTTGAAGTATGCCCTGCTGTTTTTGTAGCCAGAACACTGAGATCTTCTTTGGAAATCCTCTTTTTTTATACAGTGTTTTATTCTTATCCATAGGGGTGAAAGTTACTTAAAAAGAATATATGAGCCCCCTCTTTCCTGCTCCAATACCCGAGTTTAGGTATTAATAACACTGAAAAAAGTAAACCGTTGAAAAGGTGATTAGTTTGCTGTATTAGTTTCCTAGGGCTACCCTGCATAACAAACAAATTACAACAAGCTGGGTGGCTTACAACAACAGAAGTGCCTCGTCTTGTGTTCTGGAGGCTAAAAGTCCAAAATCGAGGTGTCGGCAGGGCTCTGCTTCCTCTGAAGCATGTAGGGGAATCCTTTCTTGCATCTTCTTAGCTCATGGTGGTGTGCTAGCAATGTGGCATGCCTTGGCTTGCCAGCTGCCCTTGTCACCTCATGGTGTTCTCCCCTTGTGTCTCTGTCTTCACACGGCCATCTTCTTAGAAGGACCCCAGTCACGTTGGATGAGGAGCCCACCCTACTCCATTGCGATCTCCTCTTAACTGATTACATCTGTAAAGACTCTTTCTAAAGTAGGGGTTAGACTTCAACATATCTTTCAGAAGACACAATTGAACCCATACCATTTGCTAGCATGGGTTAAGTGTATAAACTGAGCTATGAATGGAGAGGAAAGCAGCCCCTTTTTTCAAGCCCCTTTTACCCGAACCATCCTCCCTGATGGCAAGAGGGATTGGGTGGTTACTTGCTACCATCCACCGAAAGGTAAATCTTTGGACTTCAGTGAGGATGGGCACTGGATAATTTTAAAAGTTTATGACAAGGGCCGAGTGTGGTGGCTCACACCTGTAATCCTGTCACTCTGGGAGGCTGAGGCAGGAGGATCGCTTGAGCTCAGGTGTTTGAGGTTGCAGTGAGCTACAGTGACGCCATACTGCACTCCACCCAGGGCGACAGAGTGAGACTGTCTCAAAAAAAAAAAAAAAAGTTTATGATGATATCAGTGCTTCTTACAGTTTTAAAATTTTTTTAGTGCAGTAATGAAGTAATTTGATTTGTATGGGCCCATGTGCCCCCATATATTCTTATGATTTAAGAGGGTATCTTGGGATACTTCCTTTGAATACACCTGTCGATGCTGAGATTTAAAATGAACTTAAAGGAAGGCTTGTGTGGACTAGATGCCTAGTGACCTCTTGGGTAGAAGAATCAAGTTTGCTGTGTGAGTTGTCCTCCTCTGGGCTTTCCCTCTGTCTGAGGACCTCACTAGCTGTGGCCTTGTCCCAGCTCATCTTGACAAGGAGACTTAAGACTCTTGCTTTATAGCCAGTCTTGTAGCTCTGGATTTTTACATGGTCTCGAAAATTTCCTTGGGATAGCAAGAATTCTTGTGGTTTTGTTCTGTGATCATGAGCAGTGTGGCTACCATTGTTGGTTTTTGTTGCTGGTGATTCTTGTGTTTATTTGGATGACTTCTCAGTCTTTTCCTATCATTCTTCTTATTTCTTTTTTTTTCCTACAAAAATTGTTATGAACAAAAGGGTTCTGCTTGAAAACTGGTCACACCTCCTGTTTTACAGATGAGCTAATGGATGTCAGGGCAGGGCTGCGCAGCGTCTCGTAATGGGTCAGTGGCAGAGTTGGAACTGGAACTTGGGCTGTTGACACCCCCTTCCCCATCTTCTGTTTTTTTTGCTGTGCCACGTTGTCTTTTTTTTCTTACCATTTACTTCATTTTTCTTTTGAGAAATCCTTCATGGCTTGTCTTTAAGGCATACTTTATTTAATCTTTTAAATTAGCTTAGACCTACTTTTTCATTAAAAAAATTCTGTCTTCAAATGTGACTCTAGAATGTCTGATATAGACCTATAGACCTTTAGTATTTGAAATCTTCATAGTGTCATTTAGCTCCATTAAAAAGAAAATTTTTTTTTCTAGTAAGTCTGTGTTGACAGTGGCTTATTCGTGGCACTGACACAACGCTGCTGGGCTCCACTCTTAGTGTTACTTTATTTTGCTCAGCTCTCATCCTTGTGGTTTCCTTTTTGCGTCCTGGGTATTCAGATTGCATAGCGGCTGTGTTTTTTCTGTCTGGAGAATTAGAGCTATGTAACTGTGACTCTCGACTTCCTGGCTTCCAGTTCATTTAAGGATAAAGTTCTGAACAGTTTGGTTTTTAAAGGGCTCTCTGAATATGTCTGTGGTGTCATCATGGCTTTGTTTCTTTACTCCACTTACTTAACATTTGCCTTATCTCTTTGAACTGTCTTACTTTAGTAGTAAAACCCTTGCTTTCTTCAGTTTATGCTGTCTTTTGTAATTTTGCCATCTTGTGCAAAAGGGACTTTGTTTTAAATATCAGCTAAAAAGACTACATTCTCTTTGTCTAGAATGTCTCCTTTTTCTGTGTCTGTTGTGTTCACTCGGAGAGTGTTGGGATCTAGCTAGCAGAGCTTGCTTAGCGTAGGGAATGAGGAGGGTGCTCCTTAGTTTGTTTCCTGTGTCCGCTGCCATTTTGTAGGGGTTTTGGGACACTCTCAGCCGCCTTGTGTTTTTTCTCCACACTTTTGTGTCCCACCTCTATCAGTAAAGGAGAAAGAAACAGCTTCCTCCTCCTAAGCCCAGAGAGTGTTGAAACTTGGTATAGATGGGTTTCTGCAACAACATGTGAAACAGAGTTTTGTAAACCTTTCTGTCCTCTAGTTAACAGGACCACCCTCAGCTAATGAATACGTTTTGTGTCTGCGGAGCTCACACACTTCCTAAGTGCAGCTGGAGGCTACCTGGCATTTTTCCTGAGGGAACAGGGTCAGAGCTAGGTAGATGTGAGAGTATCTCCATTTTGGTGGTGATTCTGTTAAAAATTTTTCTGGGTGTTTTAAGATTATTAGATATAATGGGAAAAAAATCAATCTTTTCTCTTTCTGTCTTTTCCTTGGGGATGCGTTGTGGTATTACAGGCCTGTTATGGAATCCTCAAGGTACCAGAGGGCAGTTGGCTGTGCCGGACATGTGCCTTGGGGGTTCAGCCAAAATGTTTGCTGTGTCCCAAGAAAGGTGGAGCTATGAAGCCCACCCGCAGCGGAACCAAGTGGGTCCACGTCAGCTGTGCCCTGTGGATCCCTGAGGTAAGCGTGGTTCTCAGTAGCACCTTAGCTCACAGGGTCCTGCTTTCTACTGGGATAGGGCAGGTGGGTGGGGGAGCCATTCATAAAGAGAAGGCATTGTAGCTGATGAGTAAAAAGATACCTTTTGATTGCTACCTTTTTTTTTTTCTTCCTTAAACTGAACCTCAAGCACACTGTTACATTGCGGCATCATGACAGGATGGTAAATTTGTGGAAGTGTTCACCAGTGAGTTGGTCTGTAGTTTGGTGGGGCTTAGACTTCGCCTCCCCTGCCCAGCACGGCACACTTCCGCTGCTGACACCCGCTCCCCGGAGTGAGCGATCGGCAGCGCTGACCAGCTGCGGCCTGGGTGTGGCTGTAAATCCGTGCTTGGCAAGCTGTGCGTGCGGCAGCACCATGGTTGGAAAACCACTGCTCTAGGTCGCACTTTTGTGATTTTTTTCATTTAAATTCTTACTCTGCCTCAACCTTTTTAATTTCAGGTCTGGTCTAATTTATTTCAAGTCCCAGACCTTGACTAATTTAATTTGCATGGCTCACTATGAGAATATCATTTGTGATTCAAATTTTAGCATTTTTTTTGGTATGTGATTTTGGCACATTTTCCTCCTGAGGAAAATTATCTGTGGATGATTTTGGATTGAGGTTTCATGATTTGGGTCTTGGTAGCACCAGATCTCATGGTTTGGTATTAACAGGATATAGTTCAGGGAACCAGGCTGAATATAGAGACGCTACCTTATGTATCTTGGTAGTTTTCTACTTTGAATGTAGTCATGTTTTCTGAAGAAAATGTTTTTTTTTGTTTTTTTTTTTAGTGAGAGAGGTTAAAAACAGCATATATTTACTTACCCCATTGTTGACAACTTACTTAAATATGTTTAAGATGGAATTTTAGTCTTGACCAAACTCTTGTGGGCCAAAGGTCTAGTAGATTGCACTGTCCGGACACATAAGAGTTTATCTGAGTGTTTTTTACAAGCAGGTGTGTCTCTGTCAGATGCGGACTGGGCTCTTGGCTCTGCTGTCACTGGCTGAGAGCTGGGCTGTCAGGACGCCTGGGCTGTCCCGATGTTTTTAAAGTAGGGGTTTGCTTGTCCCAGGAGGGTGAGTGCCTTTGCCCCCCTTGTCTGGTAGGAGAGATGCAGGAACGTAATGGATCTTTGAGTTTCTAATGTCCATGTTCAGCCTCTGACAGCCTACGCCACCCCTTCTTGCTATTTTTGACCTGTAGGTGAGCATTGGCAGCCCTGAGAAGATGGAGCCCATCACAAAGGTGTCCCACATCCCCAGCAGTCGGTGGGCACTGGTGTGTAGCCTCTGCAACGAGAAGTTTGGGGCCTCCATACAGGTAATTGGCTTTGTAAGAATGGCTTCATCATCCTTTCCTGCGTTGCAGGGAGCAGCATGAGGGAGGGTGGGGTGAACTGTCTGAGGGTTTAGAGAGGGGACTAGAGTCCAGCAAGCACGGCGAGGTTCTGACGGATGACTCCAGCAGCGCAGACGCCTTTAGCTGGCTGGTCGTTACCCAGTGTAACCGGAACCTGAGCCTTAATAATCACAAGGTGATTCAGAAGTCAGCCTGAGCAGTGAGGCGGTTCCCGTTTGTCTCTAGTTTCTCCCTTTCTGCCCTATGCCTGGCATCACAGCTTCTTCCCACAGGCAGGCAGGCATGTCTTGGGAAGAACCAGGTCTTAGACACTCCATGGCACTTTAGAGGTGGCCACCCTCCCCCTGCCATCACACATGTAGCTGCAGACCTGTGGCTGCTTCCAGAGACTGCTGGTTGCCCAGGTGTGCACACACCTGTGTGTGATCAGCCGGGCGTGCTGATGCTTTTGCAGTTGGAGAATCAGAGACTCCCTGGAGCACTGGGTAGAGGGCGTGCATGAGGTGCTGCCCTGTACTCTTTCATAACTTATCTGGTCCAAACACAACCCAGGTATCTGATTCTTTTGGGCACCGTGTGTGTGTGTGTGTGTGTATGTGTGTGTGTGGGTGTGTGACAGAGACAGGGAGGACCTATATGTGAAAATGCTGCCTGCATTATATGTCCAGATACAGATGAGTGTAGAAAGTCACAAGGTAGGTAGATTAAGGAGGGAAAGTAGATGGCGTGCATGCTATTTTTATTCATGTTATCTAAAACTATGCCTGAGAAGTTAATTTCTGGTCCTGACATTATTGACATCTAGACAGTCATGATTTGAGGGGCCTGAAATGCTGTGTGTAGTTGGTGTTGGCCCTAAAGGTCCAGCCCATCTCTTCCTCTGAGATGTACCAGCACAGGCCACAGGCTCCTCCTCGGTTTTCTTGTTGAATTCTGGAGCAGAGGCACTGTTGTGGAACGGCTTCTTGTTCAGTGCAGAAAACACAATGGCTCACATAGACACAAACTCCGCAAGCATGGCTAAACTGCCAGCCGTGGGTTTTAGAGAAATGACCTCATTTGGCACAATCAGTTTATATTTTGGCTGATAAATACTTCTTCTGGTAAGGTACCCACTGATTGGTGGTTTTAAAAACTTTTCATTTTTTACAAGGCAAGTGGTTCCACTTTTCTTCTTTATCACTTCTGGTGTTCGAGAAGCTAAAATGTAATAGACATATTCAGAGGGTGGGGCGTGAGACAGCTGGTAGGATTTGGCTGGGGACCTTGAAAATAGTGAAGATTTTTTTTGGTATGTGAATAGAATATGTTTAAAATTAAAACATGACCCGAGAGTTGGATTGGGGAAACAGAAAGGCGTGAGAGCGGGTGTGCGCACGTGTGCCGGCGGGAGGCGGCTGTGGCAGCCCACACTGCCTGACGTCCTGAGCTTAGACGGTGCGCCTGCCCCTGAGCGTGCCAGTCCTGTCCAGCACTGGCGTTTCCAAGAGGTGGGCAAATGGGATCTTTGTTCCCCTCTGAAGAGAGACAACATAATGACTTTTTTGTTGCCGTTGACCTCTTTTTCCCAGAACGTTAATTTGAAGAAGAGGCCAACGAAGCTGATGATTTTTCATATCTTTACAGAATGGATTGATTTTATTAAAAGAATTCCTCTCTGAAATGTCTGCAGCTGTGAAGGCTCTGGTTTACATTTCTGTAACATCTGTTTGCTGAGTCAACCTGAATGGGAAAACCCAGAGGAAGGCCATTTGGCGTCTTTACAAAGTCCTGTATAAATATTCTGCTGCAGCTCATTTCTCTTTAAGGTTGGAGCGCTTGGGTTAAGTGTAGTTTAAGCCAAACACAGATAGTGTCTCAGTCATCTGTTCCCACTCTTACTTCCCACTTGGCTGTGCGCTATGAGGGAGGACACTTTGTCTTTTCATGACAGTGGCCAGGTGTGTGTGAGTGTGTGAGTGTGTGTGTGTGTTCTGCCACCAAAGCTGATTTCACACATTTCTTGGAATTGAGGTTATTTATAGATAAAATTACAGATTTATGTCAGTTCATGTGGTTTAGGTGTTTGTAATGGGGGAATGTTGAAGGGAGCTGGATTTTCTATACTTCAGAGTAAAAGACTTTTATAGTAATGGAAGAAAGCATGGCTGGCAGCGAGTCTCCTGTTAAATACTGAAATGATTAGGGGGAAAAGCCCCAACTCTAGACTCTGCCATCCCTGCTTATGTGCTTCAGGGTCAGTCGAATGAGTTTAATTAAGCTTTTCAGTTGGCCTGAAGCCACCGGATTCTGCTCCTCTCTGTAGCCCTGGCATGCCCCAGGGATCACTTGGCCTCGCACAATACAGTGTTGCTTTTAAGGGACTGGCTTCAGTCACCACGAGGAACCTCCTTCCAGGGATTTGCTCAGCAAGATCAGACAGGGAGAAGTTAATCACTTTGCTCCTGCAAGGCCAGAAGCTTGCCGTCTGGATCAAAGGCACTAAATTGTAGCCCTTGTTTAGGCAACAGAGACGGGAGGTGTTCTGCTCAGCTTGATGATGCCTGGTGACCCACAGGAGTGGCCCCCTCAGGGTTCTGCCACCCCCTGCAGCTGCCAGGCGTGGTGCGCACCTCAGGGATCTCGGCTGGCAGCCCTCCGTGCATCCAGCAGGGCTTCCTCCCTGGTATGGGGACCTTTCCCCACCCTTCCTGTGCTAGATTCTCCTTGTCTCCAGTCCCTTGGGGTTTTTATTTAGTTTCTTCAGCCGTGACCCCTTGGGGCTGCTTTGAGGAAGGGCAAGCGCACAGTTTATTTTCCCACTTGTATTGGGACTCTTCCTGGCTGGAGTCAGAATGAGGTTTATGTTCCTTTTAAAGCCGTGACTAGGAATCGTTCTTTCTCAGGAGATTCTTATTTAAGCTTTAAAGAGCTCATCAATAGGAAAAACCATATGAATATCTCAATGTAAACTCTGCACATTGAGTACAAGTTCTTTTGAGTGCCAAGCTACCCTTCATCTACATGTGTCATTTGTATAATCGTGTCTGCTTTAAGAGGGGATTTGGATGCCTTTATTTTCCTACGAAATTAGGGTTTGGTTGATAAAATCTTTCCTTTCTTCTGAAGAGTGCCCTTAGACCCAAGCCTTACCTCATAAAACATGAGTTGGTCTGCCAGGGTTCATCCATGTAACACTTTTCTGTCACAGCACACGCTTGAAGTGTGGCTGGTCCTTGTGCATGGGTACGCAGGGCACTGAGGGGCTTCCGTTGTTGGTGGTTGGTCCATAATGGTCCTTTCTCTTGTTCTTTGCATGTTCCTGCCAGTGCTCTGTGAAGAACTGCCGCACAGCCTTCCACGTGACTTGTGCTTTTGACCAGGGCCTGGAGATGAAGACCATCCTGGCAGAGAACGATGAAGTTAAGTTCAAGTCCTACTGCCCGAAGCACAGCTCACACAGGAAACCGGAGGAGAGCCTCGGTGAGGGGGGCACACAGGAGAATGGGGCCCCTGAGTGTTCCCCCCGGAATCCGCTGGAGCCCTTTGCCAGCCTTGAGCAGAACCGGGAGGAGGCCCACCGGGTGAGTGTCCGTAAGCAGAAGCTGCAACAGCTGGAGGATGAGTTCTACACCTTCGTCAACCTGCTGGATGTCGCCAGGGCCCTGCGGCTGCCGGAGGAAGTAGTGGATTTCCTGTACCAGTACTGGAAGTTGAAGAGGAAGGTCAACTTCAACAAGCCCCTGATCACCCCAAAGAAAGACGAAGAGGACAATCTAGCCAAGCGGGAGCAGGATGTCTTGTTTAGGAGGCTGCAGCTGTTCACACACCTGCGGCAGGACCTGGAGAGGGTAATGATTGACACTGACACCTTATAGTGACTTAGAGAAGAAGATGCAAAGAGGCGAATGCTCGCCCAGAGCAAGAAATGATAGCCAGTCATTTACTCTCAGACCCTTGTACACACCGCAGCATGAGGTTGTGTTGGTCAAATATATTTACGGGCTGGTAAACTCATTGTACATATGTGCAAGACTGCCACTGAGTGGGGAGCTTCTTTGTGATTTTTTTTTTTAAAAACACTTTCCCATTAATCTTTTCTGTTCTGCAAGATCAAATGGGGTGTGTCTTTTTCCCCTCCTCCATTATAGTGCTAGAGGGAACTGAACCCCAGGAAAATTACCAAGGGCTTGACTCAGAATTATTCACAACTGATTTAGGAAACCAGAATGGATTTGATTTATGGTGGTGGCCGGGGGCGCAGAGATAGGAAAATCTCTTGGTCAGTCTGGGGAAACACTAGGTGCTGGTGATGGGCTCACTGAGGAGAGCTAAGCATTGCCTCCCACTGGCCCACCTTTGATTTTGGCTAATTCACGGGGGCATTCCCAGCACTGTCACGGAGCAGAGCAGGCTGTGGGTGCTGTGTGTGCGTGAACTCCACACACGCACGTAGGTTACAGAAGACACTCCTGGCAGTGAGGTGCTAAGTCATCACTGAGGCTGTGTATATAATACGTGTGTGTGTGTGTGTGTGTGTGTCCATTTGTCCATCATGTCTCTGTGGTGTGTCTGCGGGGGTGGGGGGATTCCTGGTGCACAGGGGCATCCGATCTGTGTGAGGAGCCCTGGTCCTGCTCGGCACACTGCAGATGCTCTGTTCACCACACTACTGGATCGCTGAACATGGGGGCTGCTGGAGCCTCAGCTGCTGGCACCTCAGCTGTTTGCTGCTTCGTGCCTCCCCTGGTGCCTCCCCCGCTCTCTGTTACCTTTGGGGTCCCAGTGTGGACCTCCCTTCCTGCTACTGGAATAATTAGGAGTGGGCCATCTTCCCCCAGGGGCCATCTTCCCCCACCTGTCGGTGGTTTCTAATTGGGGATGCTGCTAGAGCACCTTCTGTGTCGACTCCCCTGTCTGTTGCCCCCTGATTAAATTCATCAGTGTGAAAGATAAGGGACTGAGGCTTTCTGGCCTGAAGCAGTGTGCACTGAAAGGCCCCCAAGTGGCCTGAAACAGTTAACACGTCTCCCTCAAGCACCTTGCTTATTAGTGGGGAGTGACTCACCTGCTTTGGAAAGCGTCTGACTCATAGGTGATGTGAAATGGGAGTGGAGGCAAAGAATAGGGATAGACGGGAAGTACTGAACCAGATCCACAGAGACCTGCACAGCCCTGCTAGAGATGGTGTAGAAGTGAAAGTATTTTTAAGTGCTCTATAGAGACCCTTTGAATACAGTGACTGAGCAGTGACTGAGCGCCAGACCAGGTTGGGATTCCTGGGAAGGCGGCTGGAGCTGGGAGCAGGTTGGTGAGGCTTTTGTGCTCCCACACGCCCCCTGGTGGTGAGTGTAAAGAAGACCTCACCTCAACCACATGTCTGTGTGGCATTTTTGTTAAGGGATGAGAAGGGATTCAGAAGGATAAACTGGAATCCTGGTGAGAATCCATTATCCCAGCCCGACAACCGCTGTAATTGGGGTGCATGAGCTGTGGAGTCAGATAGTCCTTGGGAGGGGAGGACGAGAAGTCTAATGTTTGGACTGTGTTTGTCTCACAATCACCACAAAATAAAAGTGTAGAAAATGCTTGTGGTGTACTAACTCTTTTCTGTACTTGAGTTACTCAGATTAACATGCACTTGCAATTAAATTCCAAACATTTTTTTTTTTTTGGAGTCATCACTGTCGCTGTTGAAGTAGAACAATGCCGATGATGTATGAGAAACAGGGAATAAATCAGGATTTGTGTGTGTGTGTTGCATTACTTACATTTACTTTTTAAAAAGTCTAAGAGATGTTAGGGAATTTAGTCTCAGTTTAAAACAGGTTTATTATAATGAAAAATGTGTTTTCCCCAAATTTGTCATGATGCCTTCAATGGTGGAGGCTTTAAAACATTGAAATCTTTGCCATACCCCAGAGAATTGCACAGTTCTTTGTAATTATAAACAATAAGTGTATCAGGCCAAGGGCTCATCGGGGCAGGGATAATAATAAGAACATCAAAAATTATTGCTATTTTGTTTTCTCAAGTCAGTGTTCTGTTTAACTCACACAATATCAGTTCATAGTAGATACTCAAAAATTATTTAATTCATGTGACTATAAGGGAGGCATATGGTCATTGCTAAACTGACAAGTGAGTGGCCTTCATTAAAAATGCAGACAACTCAGGATGATTATGGTAATTGCTCTTTCCTGCAATTATACACCTTGGGGCATTGCACACCTGGGTACCAGTTCTGCATCTGAAAGTTAAGTGACAGGAAAGGATTTCAAGAGGGTTTGGGAGCCCACAACTGTGAGAAGACATGGTTGCTGATGTGGGAGGACACATCAAGTTCCCAAGGCTCACTCTGGTGTGATTCCTTTCCCCTAAATACTGTCTTTTAAAGGATGCAGTAAACATGAGTTCAGCAAATGGGTACTTGTCCACATAAAGACATGCCACCTTTCACTCTGGCTAGTGGTTTGGAAAGTAGCCAAGCCCTGGGGGACAGTCCTCATCACTTGGTGGAATGGTCATCTTTGAAAATCTGATAGAGACTACAGTTTTTCCCTGAACAAAAGGCATGTTTAGCTTTAGTGTTGCAAACAGTGTTTAGGATTGAAGAAAACCTGTTAAAAACCATTCTTGGGGCAGTAGTAGTTCTCAGGGTGTGGTCCCGACCAGCTTCAACATCATCTGGAAACTTGGTAGAAATGCAGATTCTTGGGCCCTTCCACCAGAAGGTGGGGCCAGCACTCTGTTTCTGTTTGGGAGCCACTGCTGTAGAGAAAGTGATCCTAGTGTGTGAGGTGCTGTGAGAATGCACTAGGAGCTGTTTTGGGGTGCTTCCTCGCTGGCAGTTGGAAGAAGATGAAGCAGAGAAGTTTGGTTGACCAGTGTACAGGATGGGACAACAGGATGTGTTTTGAGGACAGTAGAATGTCAGTTCAACTCTACACACAGGTTGCTGATTAATGTCCTGTACAGACTTTGTGCATACAGAGGTCAGGTTTAGGGTGTCACTGCTCTAAAGTGTGGTTAGTCAGGGGCTGGTAAGTTCCAGTTGAAAATCATGGCCTTTGCTTTTGGGATTTATATTTAGGTACTTCTCACCAGAGATCATGGAGATTAGAAGTGGGATTTTGCCACTTGGCAGCCATGGTGAAGCCTTTCCCCGGGGAAGTGGTCAGAGCTACCCAAATTAGGCTTGAATAAAGTTCAGGCTCCCTGGCTTAACTATTTTCCATTTTCATGGATAACTTCAAATAAGAGAAATCTATTAATAAGTATCTGCTATACATCTGATTTGAATATGAGAACAACCTGTCTACTCTTAGGATGTCAGAGAATTTGTTTCCATTTCCTATTTCCAGAAGTCAGATTCCTTGTCTTAATGTAAAAACTCTTGTGTTTTCCAGAAGGTTTAAATCTGTGACAAGGATGTAGGTCTGGCCCCTTATTTTTGAGTTTCCGCTGTTAATTGCCCCTGGGTGGGGCGGTATGTGTCAAAGAGAGTGGTCTGTGAGCCATCTCTGTTTCCACGTGGGTCAGGATTTCTCTAAAGGACACCCACTTCCTGGCTTGGGGGTAGGTGTACAACCGTCAGAGAAGGGACTGCCTCACCCAGGCTGAGTGACAATAACATATTTATGCTGAGACAGGGAGAGTGCTTTTCTTCTCAATTCTTTAATTTTAAAATATATTTCTTTTAAAACAAGAAGTATTAATAATATAGGGGATTGATGTAGAAAAAAAGGGAGACCCTCGGTTGGTTAGGATCATTTTCCTGCTTCAGGCCCGGAGATTATGCCATGATGCAATTCAAAAGCCAGTCAGCCCGTGTCCTGTTTCTCTCAATAAAGCCTCCTGTCCTCTTGCAAATGAGAGCCTTGCACACAGCTGAAGTTGTTAGGCTTCAGAAAGGACTGCAGACCTTAGGGGAAGTGCCTGTACTTAAGCCAGAATACAAAATTTTGTGTCCTGACACGGCTTATTGACTCTAGTTGCTGTCCTCATTGTCCCAGAAAAGTCTGGTTGCTGTCCTCATTGTCCCAGAAAAGACCTTTGAACTCTTTCCATTACAAGTAAGGTGAGATAGCACTTGGTTGAGTTTATGAAAAAAAAATAATAAAGTAAGGTGGCTGGGAAGGGATTGCTCTTAGGAAGACATGAGTTTAAGGAGAGCGTAGGCAGGGCCTTGACTGTAGGAGCTGAGAGGAAGACGTGGTCACTTCCCGCTCCTGCCACTGAGATTATTTAGGTGGTCTTGTCCACATCTTCCTGAAAGGTTTAATTGTATATCTGTGCTTTCAAGCCTGTGTAATCTAGTCAGGTTTACCAATAAAAGATTTGAGAACCAAAGGATTAAGGGGGTATAGTGACTAATTCTTTAAATTTTGTTTCTGTATTGAGAGGCGACAGGCAGGTTTAAAAGTGGGGAACACATCCAAGTGTAGATTACTCAGTATGGGTTACTGCACATGTACTTGTGATCCGAAGCAGATAGCAAGTGGAGCTCTCAGCACTTGGGTCTTTTCAGTTGCAAATGCATCAGGAAGAGGGCAATATCAGTTTTTCAAGTAGTGATGCAGAGAGCTGGCTGGGAGATGTTGACCTAGCAAATCATTGGTGAAGCCGGAAAGGCAGTGTCCTAGGTATTAGACACTTCATAGGAACACGTAAGCTGCCTGCTCGCTCAGGCAGTTCAAAATTCAGTATCCAGTTGACATAGAAGTTTACTTGGGTTCTCGGTGACCATTTGGTCTTCTAGTGGGCCCTCTGCAGGGCTCCTCTCTGATGGCCCTTGACCCAGTGTTTACCCAGTTCAACCTTCCGAAGATGCTTGATAAGGTGCAGCACAGTGGCTTCTGAACTGCTCTAAAGCCACTGGCAATAGAATTATTGGGAAGAAAATACTGATGGGTGGTAAGCAAAGTCCTCTGACAGAAGGGAGCAAGTCTTGGCTTGGGCACCAGTGGCCTTCTCTTTGCTGGGATGGCTAGGTGGAGGAGGCAGGACTTTTGCACAAGTTCTGTAGATGTTCCTCTTGAGATCTAACCCATTTTTTCTGTGTTGCTGTTGACTACACTGGGGAGTATTTGTGGAATACTTGCTATCTGCCCAAAAGATTAGAGATTGGATAATTGTTTAAAGTACATTTTGTTTTCACATGTCTTTCAAGGCCCTAGTAGGACCAATTTCTGTCAGGTAAAGAAAATAAAGAAGCACCAAAGAACTGTCATAATGTATTGCTTACTTAGAATCTTTATTCTCTACATTCTAGGTTCGGAACCTCACTTACATGGTGACCCGCAGGGAAAAGATTAAACGATCTGTGTGCAAAGTCCAGGAACAGATATTCAATCTTTACACTAAGCTCTTGGAGCAAGAAAGAGTTTCAGGTATGCCTTAAGCCCTGGTAGGTCAAAATACAGGGCAGGGGTTTGTAAGCCTTAACACTGTTAAGGGAAAAAAAATTAATTTCTTTCATTTTCTTTATCCCATGGAAGAATTTAAGAAGCACAGACTTTCATATTTAAAGAAAATCTTTAGTGATTTGAAATATGATTTAGGGGAACGCTATGGATTTGGCCTCAAAGTCATGAGTTGAATCCTGTATCCTCTACTTACTGGGCAAATACAAGCAAGTCTTAATTCTGAGTCCCCCAGTGTCTTCTCACGTAAAATGGGGATGATGTTTCAAGGTATCTTTTGGAATTGTGAGACTCAAGTGAAACAGTGACTTATATATTACAGAGCACTTGGTAAATATATCATGGGGATACCTACACAGATTATTTAGCCTTTGGATCTACCTGTAACATCTGGTAAATACATCTTAAGACTGTGTACTTAAGACCCTTGTCCATTTTTAGATAATGTTCACAGTGGGCTTTTTTTTTTGGTGCAGATGGGATTTTTAATATTTATGAGATTGAGCACCAAGTGTTTTATTAAGTGCCTTCTATTTTGCATTACTGTGGGCTAGGCATAGAGGCAATTCTGAAATACATCCTTCCTCCACACTGGAGAACAAACACATCAGTTACTTGGAGATCGAGGGCAAAGTTGGGCAAGTTGTTTAACCTTTCTGGGATTCATTTGATCTGTAAAAAGAGGTTAGGTCTAGAATCATGACCTCCAAAGTCCCTTTTAGCACCAACATCCTGTGATCGTAAGCCCCAGAGAGTACGTAGTATAGGGATTTCAGAGAGGAAGATCTGCTGAGCGTGGATCAGGCAGAATCACGGAACTCATGGAACCGGGTGGGTCTTGGACAGGACTTCACTGCAGTGAGTATCTCTCTCACCTTCCACTGCCCTTTGAAGTGACAGCAGCAACATTCTTGGGGTTTGCGTTGTAGAGTGATAGTCAGTTCACTCTCACTTTTCTGTGATTGTGGCTTTTTGTCACTGTATCTAGATTATTATGAAACATAGAAACAACAAAGAAATTGTTAGATAACCTGTTTTGTGGAATCCAAATTCTGGTTTGTCTATAACCAGCCAGACATATGTGACTACAGGAACTTGGTCAGATGAACAAATACAAAAAGGCTGAGGGAGATTTTAATGATGTGTTACATAGTTTGAATGGCATTAACTTACTAACATTATTCTAGATATTTTCTTACCAACATGAAATATAAGATTAAACATTTTCCAGATGTATCAAGTATATGTCATTGGCTGGAGCTTAGAGTTTAGTTGTAATACTTTTAAAATAAAATTTTCTAGTTAGGGTATCATATGTAAAAGTAGTTTGATTCAGATTCTTTGTTTTAAAGTGAACTTCCATCTCTTGATTATTCCTACATTAATACAAATAATCGGGGTATATTTTATCACACATCTTTGTGCCCTTGTATAAATAATCCCCATGGAAGGCTGCCTGGTGCAGATCACCCAGCCTCTGGCCAGCAGATGCCGAGCTGATGTTGCCTGGGATCGTTAATGCAAATTGTACCTGTGGAGTTGTGCCATTGGAGGGCTTTCTATGACTCGTGTTAAGTCCTTTTATAATGAGTGATTACCTATAAAAATAAGCTGCAAAGAGCATTTTCATCTGATTTCACTGCCATCATTTATCATGCATATTATAGGCAGCTTTTTGCATTTCTCGGCTGCGGTTTTTGCTTGGGTGAATGAATGAGATTCTTAACAAGGTTGGGAGGTGTTTTGTGTTAACACAGCTGTAATGTAGATATGCATTCAGAAGTGTTACTACTATTCCAGAAAAGGAAAACAAATCCTCTCTTCCTTCTAAGAACCATTACTAGGTATGATTAGTTGAAAACAACATTAATCTTCCTGTGGGGTGCTACAGGGAATGCAGTTGAAAATCTTTAGGATGCTTTTTCTTTTTCCAGTTCTAAACTTATCAGTTGTCATGCCTCAAGTCAGTCTCCTGCCTTGTAAGATAGGTGATTCCAAGTGAAACAAAGCAGATGGCCATGATTTATATATGTCATTAGGGTCTGTGGTTTAAACTGTGTGTGATTCTGAGAGCGGGCAGAGTCATTCTGCTGAATGTGAGTGTCCTCCATAGAAACACAAGCATATGGAAGGTCATGAGGTGGGGGCTCTTCAGAGACACAGATTCCAAGTCAAGTAGATAGAAATCAGAGTTCAGAACATGTCAGTCCCTCCTTACCTGTTTTCCCATGGTAGGTGATCCAGTAAAGGAAATATATTAAGTGTGGCATGAAGGTTGATTCTAATGATTGAAAAGTTAGGTACTTCCAAACTAGCAGATTATAAAAATCCCTCCCTGGTCATGACAGGTCTGTGTTGAAAGTTGCTAGCTAGTTGTGTTTCCTTTGCTTGCAGTGTCCACGTCTGATAGGCACTAAGTTTTCAGATGGGCTCCTCTCCCATGCTCTGGGGACGGAATCTTGTTTCTTGGTTCATACCTTATGGGAGATGGAAAACATGGGGACTGCTCTTTGTAGATGCTTTTGAGCCTTTTGCAGAAATATGGTTGGTCCTTCTGATGTGTTATGAATTCACCCAGTGTTTTTCACACTGGGGGTTACAGTTCATTAGTGGGTTGTGAGATGAATTCAGTGGGTCATGACCAGCTTTAAAAACAATATATAATAAAAAAATGTCAGAGTGATGAGAGTTAATATTATTTCATAAAATCTGAACTTTTACTATGCTGTGAAATTTAGTCTTACCATAATTTGCACAAAAAGTTTGAAAAACACCAATTTAACTTATCCTCAAATTGGATGACATTTCAGTTGAATCCTACAAATAGATTTCTATGTAATAATAATAGTGAACTTTTTTTGATTACTATGTGTCAAGAATGATTTTAAACACTTTCCTTTATTCACTTCACATATTTACATGTATTTGTCCTTAAAATAGTCCTGCAAGGTTATAGACACTTCGGAAAAAGAAACTTAGAAGCCCCAGTCCCTGCCCTCTGGGGGCTCCATCTCACATGGGCGGCAGGGGACCGGGCAGCGGTGATACCTGGTGCAGCGGCTGCTGTAGAACCGGGTAGAGGGGGAAGAGGCAGCCGTCAACCGCCTGACAGATTCTGCATACATTCCCCTTTGAAAATCAGATCCATTATTTTGTTTGAAGGGAAATAAATGTATTCCTCGAAAAGATACTGTTTTATGAAAGATTATGTGCACTTTTAGCTGTTTTAGAAAACATAGCATATTGAGTATGCAGATTGAATGCAGATTCTCAAGGCAGATCATATCTTTACTATAAAAACCAAATTTCCACAAAGTAGGTGTTTATTGTACTGTTGGGTGGAACGTTTGCATAAATTGGGCCACACTAAGGGTCTAGAATTTTATTCTTTTCAATTTGCTTCTGCTGTAATTTTTCTTATTTGCGGTTTTCTGTTCATAGGTGTGCCTTCTTCTTCCTGCTCCTCCTCCTCACTGGAAAACATGCTTTTGTTTAACAGTCCTTCTGTGGGCCCTGATGCTCCCAAGATAGAGGACTTGAAGTGGCATTCTGCGTTCTTCAGGAAACAAATGGGCACTTCCTTGGTTCATTCACTGAAAAAGCCCCATAAGCGAGACCCATTGCAGAACAGCTGTGGGAGTGAAGGCAAAGCCCTGCTAAAGCAGCCAGACCTGTGTGGCAGAAGGGAGGGGATGGTGGTCCCAGAGAGCTTTCTGAGTTTGGAAAAGACCTTTGCAGAAGCACGTCTCATATCAGCACAACAGAAAAACGGTGTGGTGATGCCAGACCATGGGAAAAGAAGAGACAATCGTTTTCATTGTGATCTCATTAAAGGAGACTTAAAGGACAAACCTTTTAAACAGAGTCACAAGCCTCTCAGGTCTACAGACATGTCCCAGAGGCATCTGGACAACACAAGAGCTGCCACCTCCCCCGGAGTGGGACAGTCAGCCCCTGGCACAAGGAAGGAGTTAGTGCCCAAGTGCAATGGCTCCCTAATCAAAGTAAACTATAATCAGACTGCAGTCAAAGTGCCTACAACACCTGCCAGCCCGGTGAAAAACTGGGGAGGATTCCGGATTCCAAAGAAGGGGGAACGGCAGCAGCAGGGAGAGGCCCATGAAGGGGCCTGCCACCAGCACTCAGACTACCCATATTTGGGCCTAGGCCGAGTTCCAGCCAAGGAAAGGGCAAAAAGCAAGTTAAAATCTGACAATGAGAATGACGGGTATGTCCCTGACGTGGAAATGAGTGACTCGGAGAGTGAAGCATCAGAAAAAAAGTGTATACATGCCAGCAGCACTATCAGCAGGAGGACAGACATCATCAGGAGAAGCATCTTGGCCTCTTGATGACACAGAGGTGGCGTGAGCAGCCCTGTGGGCCCGTCACTGGCTGTGCTAGAGGAGAGCTCTGATGTGGGGGACATGCAGAAACCCATTACTCCTGAACTACACAAACACTTTTACTTGCAATTCAGAGTGAATTTCTTTTCCAGAGTCATTTATAAATCATTGTTGTGAAAAGTTTGTGTTATCTGCAACTTGAGGAAACAAAAGAGTAGACTGTAACCGTAAGAGACTTCTAAGACGAGAACCTGAACTAAACACTAAAATAAGAGTGAATTAAATAAGTTTTAAAGAGGGCAAGGCTTAAATAAGCCTCATGAGTTTTTACTGCCTTCTGTATTCTTCCCAAAGCACAAACTCATGGTTACCTGAATATACGGAATCAGATATGGTTCTTGAGAAACCCTCAATACAATTTATAGCCCGTAAAGCTTATTTTCCAGGTCTATGGTAGATCTTGAAATCATATTTCTATTTTGGCCCACAAGGCTGTTTTTGTTGCATTATAGTATACAGGCAGCAGCTCCGAAGCTTCAGTAACACTAGGGAATTCATGTGTAAATACAGCAGTAGGGGAAGAGAGCATTTTAGAAAAGGTCACTACTGGAAGAGCTGAGGGGACAGGGTAGAGCTGCTGCAGCGTGGAGACGTAGGGTGGGTGTAGCAAGGTCCTGCTGCCTGAAGCCTGTGAGTGGGTTGTGGATATAGGACTGGGGAAGAATGAAGCCTTTAGGAAAGTTCTATCTAAGAAAGGGCAGTTGAGGTACAAATTTGACCAGTCCTCTTGACCTTCCTCTTCCCTAACCACTGGCTCTTGGGCCAGCTTGGAATGTCCCTGGCCATTGCCAGTACCTGGCCATCTGGCTTCCAACAGTACAATGGCTATTCAAGTTCAAGCGATGAACTTCCAGACTCTGGTGACTCATACTTCCCAGAGCCAACCACTAGTGCATATGTCGGGGAATCCGGGCTTCCAACATGAGCGGATTCCTTAAGAACAAGGAAAAAAGAAAAAAAAAAAAAAAGAAACAAGAAAAAAAAAGGAAAAAGAAAAAAGGGAAAAAAAAGCAAAATAGGTTATATTTTAAAAACAATAGAGAGGCAATAAATTGTGTTAAGCTCTTACTATTGACCAAGGTTATACAGGAAAAGGATTGAAGTGTACCCTTGAATAGGTTTTCTGGAGTCAGAGTTCTAAACTCTCATTCGTAACTTGGACTGTCTAATTGCAAATGGCAATAACTAGTAAGTTATCAGCAATAATAAATTTAGCATTAAATTTGAGTACAATGTTCTGTTTTTGCACTCACTGTAGTGCGTATGTATTAAGACAGTGGATAGTGTTAAGGTCTTGTTAATTTTCTTTGGAATTCAATGTGGTTGTGAATCAAACTTAAGAGAAGGAAAGTTTAAATAGCAATGAGATTTAGAATTATGGGCATTTGGAACAAGCCCAACTTCCCCCAAATTATTCTTTAGTTTGTTAGTATCAGTATTCAGATTCTTGATTGATTTACACATCTGTTTCCATGTGGCAGGGACATTATGATCCTTAATAAATAAATAATACTTTGAGTTCTGTAGTTAACTTTCAAGTCTTCCAGATGATTGTCAACAACAAAAAAAGGCTTATTGAATTCCATCTTGCTATGCAAGTTTTATCAGATGATCAAATAGTAGATCTGATGCATCCCCATTGTATGTATGACATTTTCAAACCAAGTCTTAACTTTTCAAGTACATTTTAGTAGCTAATTCAGGGGAGGGGAAAGAATGACCCAGGTTTTTAGATTGACTATTTTTGAGCTATTGGGCTCATTTTGAAAGACTGCTGTCCAGATCAGCTTGTTGCTACAGATAATAGAAGGTTTTTATGAATCCAAGTTGTACATTCACTTGTAGCATAATTTAAAAATTAGATTTTTTTTTTTTTTTTTTTGCGTATGAGCAAAAGCCTTTTGCTGGATACAGGAGAAGGTTGGACTCTACAGTTATCTTTTGACTAACAGCAACAGCTCTGGGTGAGAGTAGAATTTATAGAGGGGTAATTTGTCAAGCCATAGAAAGAAAATCTAAATTAATCTAGTAAGTGTATGACCTCTCACCATTTTAAGAGGTATCAGATTCATTTGCACTATTAGGAATGCTAGTTTTGTGCAAAAATAATGCCTTACCTATTTTTTCCCCACATTTAGGTTGAAAAGCTTTCAAATGTTCCAAGTTATGCTGAACCAAAAAACAAAACAAAACAAAAACAACAAAAAAAATAAAAAACCTACACAAAAACAAAACACACAAAAAAATAAAAAGCCCACACTTTTTATTCCTGCTTCAAAATGCAAATGGTATAGAGCACGGTTTCTCTGACAGTATAATGATAGCTTTGTAAGTTAGTTTCATGTCATGCTGGGAACTCTGTATGAGGTGGCCATAAGCAGCAACCAGCCCAATCTACCCACTTGCATTCTATTAGTATGGAATCATTTGCTTTTTTTTTTTTTTTTTAAGCTTTATCTTTCCTTGTGCATCCTGACCAAGAAATATCTTTGATTATGATCAATGTATTATGTCAAAACGTAGGCTAGTTAAACTTTTGTAAAGTTGCCTGGAATGTCATTTGTTAGGTTATAAACACAAAATCTAAATGAAGGGTTTTATGTGTTGTGTATAAATCTTAATTATTTTGAAATGGACAAACTTGTCATTACATTTGTAACCTTGTACAGAGGATTTTTCACTATGTGCCTAGCTTGGTGTCCATTCAGCTAAAATTGAAAAAAAAGGTGCATGAAGAGTTAAAAATCAGAAATTAAAGTATATGTAGAGATGACTATTTTATATTACATGGCCCAATCCTGTATTTATTTCTACCCCCTTTTTGAAAGTATTTATAAAACTAGTTGAGGACAGCTGTATTTTTTTGTTAACTATTTAGTAGAATTGTGCCTTTTTGTCTGTATGTGAATAAATGCTGTACATTTTGCAGTACATTTTAAGTGTCTTTTGAAATCTGCTTTTGCTTGATATTTAAAGATGTGTATGACTTAGTCCTGAATCTTACAGTCTCACAGTTTAGATCAGGAATGAGAACTATAGAGAACATGACAAGATTGGGAGGAGCACATATTCCCGGGGCTGCTTCTGGCTCAGCTCTCATAGACTGAAAAGTGATAATGGTTTGATTTTAGTTTCCCTACCTGGGGTTCTTTCCAGAATACAACTTTGGATCTGAAAACATTTCATTGTTGAAGCAATGTAGACGTTAGCATCAGAGAGACCTGTGTTTAAAGGCTGAACTATAGTTTACCAGCTACTAGGCCAACTCACTTTACTTTTATGAGCCTCAGTTTTCCCATCTGTAAAAAGAGGATCATCTCTTAGTATCTTGCTGAGGATGTTGTATGTTTAAAGCAAATTTATAAGAGCATCTCATACAGAGCATGTGTTAGGCATTTAGCAAATGGTAGGCTATTTTGTTACTAGGAACAGCACTGATATTTGCAACATTAACTGACCAACCTTCTGAAGCAAAAAATGTTATTCCTGAATGGCGAGAAGGTTGCATTTAAAAGGCACTTTAAAAAATAATTTCTCAAAGAGCAGTTTCATTAAATGCTTTCTTTTGATCACAGAACTCTGGAATACTAGGGCAAAGAAGAGAGATTATCTGCTGTCTACAAAGACGACTTGTCTCAGATCACAACATTGGGCATTGGCAGAACTGGGCCTATACCCTAGTTCTAATTTCCAGTTTTGAGTTCTGGTCTGAAATAGTCTTTTATACAAACACTACATGCAGAAATTAGCATATACTGAAATGTACCTTTCTTTCTCTTCATGTTGGGAACAGTAAAACTGGTGTGGATTACACATTCTCTTAATGATTACGGAGCACAACAGGGTAGCTGTCTTGGTCTAATTTATAATTTCTGTAAAAAATCTGACCAGTTTTTTTAACATGAATTGTTCATACATTTTGCTAAAAGCTTGTTTATTTCTCCTTGTTTCTCCTCAGTGACTATTTACTTCCATATTGCTTGCTCTGAGTAAGACCCCAGAGAGAAATAACTGTGATTCTTCCTACAAGGTCTTCAAGTTGAATAGCCATAATAGTTCCCTTAGGAAATTAAATCCCCAGGAGCCAAAGGAAGGGCCTATCATTGGCACTTCTGCAATCTGTGATGGGAAATGTGGCACCAGGGACTTATGTTCATGTTTTCATTCAAATCACTTAGAAAACGGTTTCTACCTTTGAAACATTAGCCATCTGCAACAAACTTTGCAATTAACTTCAAGGTTGAAATCTTTAGTATGATTTCTCTTTAATGCTCAGAACTACATTAGATGATGTTTTCTAGTCTGAGGTAAAGTAGAAGAGCTCTGATTGCCTGGTCATTGAAAAAGGATAAAAGCAAATCTAATATGTTACTTACTTCTTTGACTTGAACTGTTCTCTATGCCATTCAGTTTGGTATCTCTGAATCCAGCCTTTCCTGAGTTCTAATAGACTGCTTATTGGGCATTTTCTCTTGGATGTATACAGGCACTTGAGATTTTGAAACTCATTCTTTTTCTGTCCTATTTTAGAGAATGCTATCCCAGCCTGAAAACCAGGAGTCCTTTCTTCAACTCTCACAACCAAATAGTGATCAAGGTCTGGGTCTGTGTATTATACCTAATATTGCCCCAATATTTTTCACTTCTCCTGATCCCACTACCACTTGCCATATAATTCAGGCCTCTTCATTTCTTGCCTGGATTACTGCAGCTGCCTCTTACCTGGTTTCCTCGACTCGAGTCTTGTTGACATTAATTCCTCCTTACCCCAACTGGCTGCAACCTTGCCAAGGCTATCTCCATAGTGATATCTTCTGAAATAAAAACTGATGTTGCCATTACACATAGCCTTTAAGGGAACCTCCTGACTTTTGCTGATAATTACAAAGGGCTTATCAAGTGGCAGGCACTGGTCTGTATTTTATATTAATTAATCCTTATAACGTGAAGTAGGCACTATTATCTGGAATTTGCAGATGAGGAAGCTGAGGTAGAGAGAAGTTAAGTAATTTGCTGAAGGTCAGTAATAGGTGATAAGGCTGGGAGTCAAGCCCAGCCCATCTGGGAGTGAGCCCTCTACGCTTTCCTGCCTCTCAGAATACAAAAAATAGTTGATGTAAAGTAATACGTGTGTTTTTGACTATACTGAAGACTATACACGTGAACTTTTAGTTCAACGAATTCCTATAAAATAAAGCCAATAATCTTGGCTTGAATAAATACCTTTCAAAAACCATGTTTAAAATACCATGCTTATTTTGACAAAAGAAATCATAAAATATATTAGCCACTTTATAATTAATGAACAAAATTAAACATATATTTATGGTTTTTTTTGTAGATTAAAATTGGTGAAATTGTCATCATTCATTACAGAAATCTGGAAACCTTCAAAGGAGGTAGTCAACTAATTATTGTAACTTCCTTTGCTTAGATCCATATTTTCCACTAAAGTTACTTGACATATATTTTAAGCTATGGCCATTTTTTTCCCTAGGTTTTGGAAAATTACCAAATCCTACTAGATATGAAGATGGTTTTTCTAGGATGCTTCCTATATATATATTATATACATAATCTGACAACCAGAAGGGCTTTTTGAGTTATTGTCAGAGTCAAAAAGGGAAAAAGAAGGAAAAAACAAAACAAACAAAAAACGCTCATAGCTCAGACTTGCTTTAAGGTTGGCAAATGAAAAAGTAGAAGTAGAACAGAGTTCTGCATCCATCAAGAATTTTGATCCTTGAACTTAAAAAGGTAGCATAGACACTGGTAAAAGTCAGTTGAAGTCTAGGATGTGTGAAGAACTTGTACAAGAGCATCTAGCTTTTTATGGTGAGCTCATCTCCTGACCCAGATGAGTTACATCCCAGGGCACTCGGAGAACTTATAAAGGCTTCTGCTAAATCACTGTCAGCAAATGGGAGACATGTCAAAATTACACATTTTGCAAACTCTAAAGATGCAATTTTGCATCATATAAGGAATTCCTAGTTTGAAACCCAGCAGTACTTGCCAGCTATGCGATCTCAGGCAAATGATTTCTCCTTTTACTATACCTCATATCCTTAGAAGGGTTGTTGGATTATATAATAAATGCAAAATGTTAGTACAATGCCAAGCACATGATAGATGTTCAATAAATAGACGTTATTAATACAGATCAGCACATTTATCGCAGATCCAGAGAAAAGATTCTCCAATGGATTCTTTTGGTTTATTTGTAGAAGTGTGATTATAACTTCCCTCGTTTTCTTTTATCCCTTAGAGTAGTTTATATGAAAGGAGATGCTAGTCTCATTTTTAATCTTCACAGATCTAAATGTTAACAGGTTTTTTTTAATACATTATATTATGCTTTGATGGCTTTTTTATTCTTTGAAAAAAAGACTCTGCTGCCATAGACTGAAAACACTGAATGAAAATTTCCATGATTCCTTATCAAAGGAATTGAAGGGCTTTAATAAACATAAAAGAAACATGCAGTGATTACTAGGATGTTACATGGATTTACTAAGAAGGCTTAATTTTCTTCTTGGATAGGATTGCTATATTAGAGCTGGGAAATATGATTAGCATGGCATCCGTGAACTTTTGCTAGGCAGATGGCTGGGTCTTTCTTGACGTTCTTATGATAGTGTATAAGCAGCAATATGGGGACAAATGAAAAACAAGTTGAATGACCATATCTGATGAGTATTATTATTATTTTTTGAGACAGAGTCTTGCTCTGTCACCTGGGCTAGAGTGACATGGTGTCAGCCTAGCTCACAGCAACCTCAAACTCCTGGACTCAAGCTATCCACCTGCCTCAGCCTCCCAAGTAGTTGGAATTACAAGTGCATGTCACCATGCCTGGCTAATTTTTCTATTTTTTTAGTAGATACTAGTCTTTAGCTCCTGACCTCAAGCAATCATCTGGCCTCGGCCTCCCAGAATGCTAGGATTACAGGTGTGAGTCACTGCGCCCTGCTGATTCTTAATCTCCCATTAAGAGAGTTGGTGGTTCCTCTGCTCTAAGAGACTGTATTCAGATCTGTCTGGTTTTCCTCACTGTTTCAATGACACACATGAAAATATGTGTGGCAAGCTTATCAAATCTGTAGATGGCATTCACTGTGAATCAAAAATTGTCTGGGGTACAAGAAATAAAACAGTAAAACAAAATGCAACTGGAAAGGCCCCTATCCTTAGAGCTAACAAACTAGATGATAGAATTAGGAGTTAAAATGACCTCAGCAGGTCATTATAATAATGTAATGAGATTTAACAGGGATAAATGACCAGTCCCACTTCTGGGGCAAAGATTTGGCTTAGAAACAAAACTTTTGAAAAAGACTTAGGATTTTAGTAAAAAATATGCTCAATCCAACAGTGTGATTTAACTTCCCCCCAAGAAAAAGCTAACACAATTTTAAGCTGCATTAATGGAAATGTAGACTCCAGAATAGAACAGTAATTCTAATTTTTTTCTCATCCTCAACACTGAGAAATATTACATATGTATAATACATTTACATGAATCACTAACTTTAGTGATGCTCAAAGCAGGCTTTCCTAAGAGAATATGTCAGAATCTTCTTGGGTTGGGGGATAGGGAATCGGCTCATAGTTTAAAGCCATATCTATCCCCCAGAGATCTAATAGGTTGTCTCCTTCACAGTCAGGCAAGTATCACTTACCCTGTCTCGGCCCCTCTCAGTCATGGTCTAGAACAAGAGAAATACGAATTTTGAATATAATGTTTTATTTGGGAATAAGGCTGATCTATCCTAAGCATACCTGGAGTAGCACAGGTGTTCCATCAGTTTTTATTGACTGAATTAGTGAAGAAGGACATATGCAAATCGGAGTGCATTCAGATTCCAGTGTCTGGTTGACACAAAAATTCACAGCCAAGTTCTCTGAGAAAATGTAGATGTTTACTCAACAC